AAAAATACATTTTTATACTAAAAATACTAGTAATACATTATTATATTAAAAAAATTACCAAAAGCTATTTATAGTAAAAATTACCAATAATACATTTTATCTGTAGTTGAAGCCAGAAAAATGCGTCCAAAATACTTAGATTTCAGCATTAAATAAAAGTTATTTTAGACATTTTTTTTAAACAATATCAATCAATTTATCAACCAGACACAGGGATTGAACTCACAAGTGTTTGGAAAAACAATGTAATTTAACAAATGCTTTAATCCATGTGACTTTTGGATCTGCCTTAACGGAATGTCTAAGGGGTTACTGAGTTTAATTTAAAGGCACTGAAAAAATTTAAAATTACAATAGATAAAATGTTAGTGAGTATTTTCAATATGACATCATATGGAAGATGATAAACATTTAATACAATGTTAAAAAATTATTTTTTTTTATTTTCACTCACCATATATGAAACTTAATATCTGAATAACATTTGGCCTTTTCATCTATAATAAAAGAAACTTTATAATTAGGGGATTTTGTAGTGAGTTGCATGAGGCAGTCAGAAGTTTTGAAACTGAATCGAAAGATATGTTATTTCTGTGCAAAGAAATGTTATTATTAATGTCACAATGGACGAATCCTGACACTTCACCATTCTATTCCTGCTCGATTATAAAAGAAAATGTAAAAGAAAGCAGTAGACTTATTCTTTAGACATCGTTATTTTACATAAAGTTATCTAAAGAGAAAAAAAACAAAAAAAAAACAAGAACATAACTATTTTTGGTCAGTTTCTCTATTTTGAAAAAGAAAAATATGTTTGTTTTTTTTTCCTCTCACTGCCAAAGCAATTTACGCCACATTGTGAAAGATAAAAAAATATTTTGTAACATTTACAAACATACTATTCAAAAAAATTTTCTATTTTTTTGAGACAGCACTTGTGTTCTTTTGATTAATATCAAACGTCACTATTTTCTGTTTTTTTATTATTCTTTTGTGCTTTTTGTCATGCAATTTCACCATTGACAAATTATTGCTGTCTGTTTTGATACAACAGTAATTTTTACTACTTGTGTAGAAAGTATATATATATATATGCGAATAAGTTTAATTTAAAAAAGAAAATGGAAAAATCTGTCTGTTAAGTTTTTATTGCATTTTTCCAATTTTTAAATATGATCTTGTGCACTGAGATCAAAATTATGAATCAATTGTCTGAAGTTCATGTTTGTGTCACAGTCATTTTCAAGAACCACGTGATATCTGTGTGTTAGGCAAGATTCATTTGCTTATATCCTGGTATTTTCTGGAAAGCTGGAAGCTTGAAATAATCTACCATGATATCATGTATAATGGTTATTGGAAGCAAGCCTGCACCAAAAAGAGTGTGTGAGCATTTGTGCATGTATATATCAGGTCATCCCATAAGTTCTGTCTGAATTTTACCTTTTTTTAAAATGAACAAAGTTTAAAAAGTATTTTATAATGTCTAATGGAGCTGAACATTATTTTTATTTTTAGATGTATTTAAACTGATCAAATTTTATTTCAGAGAACAATAAAATTAAATTTTGTTTGATTAAAACCCTGATAAAATGGAAGTACCCAAGAATCATTTGAGGCACATAATGCTTTATGAGTTCAAGAAAGGAAACTCAGTAGCCGAAGCGGCTAGAAACATTCACTCAGTTTATGGAGAGGAATGTGTGAATGAAAGAACTTGCAGAAGATGGTTTGCAAAATTCAGAGTTAGAGATTTCACCCTTGAAGATGAAGATCGAACCAGATGTCCAGTTGAGTTTGATGAAAAGCTTCTTGAAGCAGCCCTTGAAGAAAATCCTGCTTTATCAGTTGAGGAATTGGCAGTGGTTCTCAGTTCAAACCATACAACTGTTCATCGTCATCTTCAACAACTTGGAAAAGTTCCTAAACTTGGAAAATGGGTGCCTCATGAATTGTCTGAAAACAACCTCAAATCCTGAGTTGACATCTGCTCTTCTCTCCATTCTCGCCAACTTGTTTCACCTTTTTTGGATAGACTTGTGACTGGCGATGAAAAATGGATCTTTTATCAAAATGTTAAGCATCGTAGACAGTGGCTTGGTAAAGGGGAAGGACCCCAGCCACAGCCGAGAAGGGAACTTCATGGGCAAAAGGTTCTTCTTTCAATCTGGTGGGATCGCCAAGGAATAATCCACTTTGAATTCTTACCACCTAATGCAACAATTAATGCTCAAATATACTGTCAGCAATTAGAGCGTTTGAACCAAGCTTTGAGGAAAAAAAAACATGCTCTAGTGAATCGAAAAGAGGTAATGTTTCATCAGGACAATGCGCGACCCCACACAGCAAGAATCACGTCACAAAAGATCGAAGAACTTGGTTGGGAGAAAATTCCTCATCCACCTTATTCTCCTGATCTTGCTCCTTCAGACTACCATTTGTTTCAGGTAGGTTACAGAATCATTTGGAAGAAACAGCTTTTGTAACACAGGAAGAGGTT